GGGGAGCTTGTCCGCAACTTTTTGGCGGTCACTGTATGTCCTATCAGAAGTACTCCATGAGCAGAACATCGTTATCAGAACGGTAAGGTGAGCATGTTGGTAAAGCTAATTCAGCGGATTTGATTGTACCTTTAGACTGCTTCAAGAGATATATAGGATAAATATCAGAGTAAGCAGAGTGGTCCTTATGAGATGAATCGTGAAATGCATGATGTTTTGTGCCTACATATAACCAGGAGCAAAGGAAAGAAAAAGAAAAGGGGAAACACCACAAACTGTGCATCAGAACAACAAACTTCAAGAAGTACAGGATTGAGTAGATATAAACTAGTCTGTACCCACCCGAACTTCTCCTCCTGTATATTGAGCGACTGAACAATCAAGCTTAGGCATCATCGGTAACAGAATTTCTGGATGCTTCTCCCAGTTCGCAGTTCCAGGGGAGAAATACCGTTCAACAACAGAAACAAGCTCATCGTGATCCACACCAACGCCTAAATAAGCGAAACGTTCATAGACTCACTTCAGAGATTTGATTTCTACCTGCGACGACAAGGCGGTCTGGTGCGTGATACTGGCTAATGTAAGAGTTAACGTGTTGTTGATGAATGTTTGACAACTGTTTCTCACTGGTATACTTTGAAAATCCTAACGTATTGTCTCGGAAAGCAGCCTTTAAAGCAATAGAGAAGACTCAAAATTTTCAACAGTTGAGATATTGATAAAATAACCAACCTTGTGCAGCCAGTCCGTTAACAAAGGCTCAGTGCTTTCGATCTTGCGTGGCATGTCGTCGTTCTCGTATTGCACGATCATCTTGGCTTCTTCCAGCTCCAAACCAAAGCTATCAATGTACAGCAAACTTTTTCGTATTCGCATACCTCTTCCGCGGTGTTCTTTGCCCGCCATATAGCATTTGCCAGAACTTCCATGACGGGGTCAAGACCGGATATGTGACAACTGGCCGCATAAATGAAAGTGTCCTGGAAAAGGATTTTATTCCAGATAAAAGTTCCGTCCGCAAACTTACCCTTGTGCTTTGACAATCAATCAAACCACCATTTTCCTGAAGGACTTCATATATCTTATCTCTGGAGGAATGCCGTGTTGTTGACTGAAAGAGCATTGTGAGTGAGCTGTACACCAAATCTAGGACATCCTAACAAGGGAAGAATTCCACGTCACCATGCTGATCTGGAACAAAATGCACGCCATTAGATTTGTTCTGTTGTGCTGATTCCATATCTACTTTGCATATCTGCTGCGCGGTTCTCTGAGGGAAGTTATGTGCAATTGAAAGTGGGAAGTTATTTGTGTTCTAATGCTTGACATGCTTCAAAACCACTTGGTAGCGCATAACTGGTGTTGAGGGTAATTTAGAAGGAATGCCTCTATACACCAACAACATAAGTAAGTGCTTTTTGAACACCTATCTGCTGAATTTGGGCACTGAATGTTTGCCAAATTTCAAAATTTCAAAGCCCATAACTTCTCTTAGAGAACCTCGCAGCAGATAGGGAACATAGATTTGGAATCAGCTCAACAAGACACACCTAATAATATGCATTTCGTTTCAGATCGCCATGACATCCTGGGATCCCTCCCTGTAAGCAACTTGCGGATCACTTTAGCAGAACAAAAATCACATAGATCTAGTTATTCTAGCGCATTGACAGTGCGTCGAATACGCAACTCTGAGAAGAAAACTTTGCACAGTGATAAAAGCCACAAGCGCGCCAAGTTTTGACATGCCTCTATAGTGGTTTTCCACGGTCAGTATCTGGATAATCATGCCGGGCTACGAACAGACATAAAGAAATGATATTAGGTTGAACCGAAAGTTCGTTCGCTTCATTTTCAAAAAATCGTAGCGTCTTACTATAACGATATCCTTGCATGGCAAAAATATCACTAGAAAGAGTAAATCGTGGGCTTTCTAACGACACCTCGCTTGATCTCCATTTCTCTCCCATCGCAGAGAAAAAATTGCAAAAACAAAATCACTTCAGGCTCGGAATTTTTAAGCAAACCCGTTAAAAATTCCATAACTGCGCCGTAAAATCCAAAAC